ATTTTGATGATCCATTATCTGCTAATGACTACATAGAAATAGATTTGAGATTGCAAAATCAGGATAAATTAGCTGATCAAGAAATCATTGAACTAGTTAAAGGGAAGGAAGCGATTGAAGAAGAAGAAGAAGATAACCAATTTCAAGTTTCTGAAGATAAAATAACTATGGATCAGGCTATGGAATCAATTGAAAGGCTCCAATTTTTTCTAATGCAAGAAGAAAGAGGAATGGGTATTAGTGAGAGTTTCCTGCGTGAATTAAACAAATTTAAAAGAGAATTAAAGAAAGAAATTTTTGTGTCAATGGCTCAACAGAAATTGATACATATTTTAGTTAAATGATTTTGTAAATTATGATTTATTATTAATAATAAATGGATAAAGGAAATTCTAAATTTTTAAATTTACTACCCCGTTTATCCGAATTAATTTATGACTCTAATAATAACTTCGGATTACAAAAAAACCCTGTTAATCCGAAGAAAAGTCCCTGCACAATTGCCTTTGGTTTAACGGGGTTGCCTATGTAATAGTAAACAATATTTATTTTAAACATCTAGTCATCCCTCCTCATCCTCCTCATCTTTATTACAAGTAAGTTTATCATGTTACTTTAGGTGGATAAGACTAATTGTCTTATTATTAACAAGTTTATTTTTTTTGATTATAAAATATATACCAATAACTTCTAAGGATGAAAGATATTTGAGAGTTTTCAACTCAATAAAAACATCAATAAGTCTAAATTTTAATTTGAATTGATCAAACAATAACATCAAATAACAATATCAAAATCAATGGATTACATTGCGTAAAAAATTTAGTTGAAAGCATTGTAAGCACAGAATGAATATTTTATTTTTATTGTTTTTAGGAATTTAACAGGATCAACCTATTTATCTTACATTATAGGAAAATAATTTAGCTCATGTTGTTGATATTGATAATGATTATAATCTTAATACTAATAATATTGATCTTCCAATCAACGATGATATTGACAACAATCGTACCCACAACATTAACAACAATAATTCTAATAATGATAATGATAATCTTAATACTAATGATATTGATCTACCAATCAATGATGATATTGACAACAATCATACCCACAACATTAACAACAATAATTCTAATAATTTTAGCAATGATGACATTAATATAGAAGAAACTAATAATACTGATAATTTTCATTACAATAATAACATTGATAATAATATCAATATCAATAGTAATAGTGATAATAATAATGACAATAACATAAACGATAATAACAATAGTAATATTGCAATGAAAAGGATGAGATGGACAAATCAGGAGAAATTAATCCTAATTGACCATGTCTTTTCCACAGTAAGGATAGATTACAGTTTTGCAATGCAAAACTTGAGCAGAAGCAAAAATGCAGTGTACAATCAATGGCTTTTCTTAAAAAGGAAACTGAGAAATCATATGGTCAATGAGTGAATTCTAATTAAAATTTTTTTTTATTAAATAAGTCTGTTATTCTTGTTAAATAAATAAATGAAAAAATTACATGCATGCACATTGGCTACTGAAATCAATAATAATAAAAAAATTTTTTTTGTTTTATATACCAGCATTGGCAACACCAAAGTGATTAAATAAATTAAAAAAACCCAAAACCTAATAAACACAATAATTTCCATAATATTTGTTTCCAGTAATTATTAAGGATTTCAGTTTTTATTATTAGGGTCTGTAATTCTATACAGTCATACCTCTTCCATGTCTCATCTTATTTATATTCCCACCTCAATTAAATCCCAAAATGAGCTGTGGCAGATTTCCCTCTATTAATTTGATATAGACTTTATCTCATTTACATTATCTTCTATCCTTAATTTTTCTTGCTGATAAATCATAGGTAATTCTTTCTTTTTTTAGATAAGTATCAAGTGTCTGAGTATTGTTTATTCTGAAAGTATAAGGAGCAATTTTTTCACCTTGTTCTTTCTTTAGAATACTTCTAATGGTGCTGTAATTTTTGGGTTCCATAGTAGATCTGATATAAATGAGTTTCATATTAACTATTTTTATATAGAGGTAATTCTATATATTATAAAACTGATAATTATAATCACATTACAAATGACTAAATTTTGATCCCTGAAATTCTTGGTAATGCCAATGTTCACTTTGTCTGGTTTTGTTGCAGCATGCCCCATTATATTATGAGATTGCTAAATCTAAAAGCTTGAGAATTTATACAAGTAATGATAGTTCGTTGAATAATCTTGATTTTAACTCTTTTCTCTAAAATGTTAAAGATAAATAAAATTTTATTAATTAATTGGAAATTACCAACCATCAATTATTACTAACGATAGTAATTAATAAACATAGTAACAATAGTAAAAGAAAAGATGTGATGAAAGACTAATTTAATCTTCACTATAAATTTATTATTTATATTTTTATTTCATCCTTATTTTATTTCTTATCTTGTAACCAATATTTGAAATAATAAACTTTTACAATTTTTTTTGATTCTTGTTAAATGGTGATATCGTTTGGTTAATTAACAATTATGGCTTAACTTTTGGGCTACTCTTGTCAGTTAAATTCGATGCTTGTCAATTAATTAATTTACGAATTTACTTTGGTTCTTTCTTGCACCTAGACGAATCTGTGAGCACGCTTAATGGTACCAAATAAATAAAGATGGTCCTTTTGCAATGCTATAGAGTACCTTTTATTCATTGATGATCAATTTATTTTAGCCGTTTACATTTACTGACCAATTGCAAACTCGTTTTAATTTATTTACAAAACGACTTGATATTACAATTACAATAATATTACCAATTAACCTTTAGACAATGATTCATCAACCGTTGTTAACATTCACTAGTTAACCAACGTTGGTCCCAATTTTTGCTTATTCACTAAAGCAAATTACGTTACTAACTGTTGTTAGCTCATTAGTTGATATGTAACTTGTCACGTATTTTTTATATGTCTTATGGTTTATATGAACAAATATCACGAAAAATTTATTTGTTACGCACCATTCAACCCTCCGCAAAGAAAAACAAGTTTTTAAATGAAAAAGTAACAGTGAGTTTCGTTAAATATAGATTAGCATTATTATTATAGTGCAATAATATTCTGGCGTCATAATATTATAAAATCACACGGCTCAACTACACACATATATATTCGTTCGGAGCATCAAAATTAGCACTGGATGCGAAGTATCTAAACATACTATCATGTATTCATGATCAATGATGCAATCTTTAATAAATAGACTATTTCATGGCCAGATGGTGTATTGATCGAGTAGTCTAACAATTTACAACAAAAACATATATAATTAGATCCACTATCTGAAAAACGGCGCATTAGTATTGCTTTTTACATTGCATTCGAATTCGAGGGTCAAGGTATGTAGAGCTGAAATGGTAATCTTTATATGATTTGGCTTTACAAATATTTATATATTCGTTCGGAGCATCAACATTAGCCAGTCATATTTTTATTTGTTGCGTTGAGCAAAATTTAATAAAGATCTTTTGTGTGAATCAAAAGTTACTTACGAATTTCGATTGTTAAAAAAATCAACTAAGCTTTTTTTAAAATCCTTTGCAAAGATTAATCAATGGATTTTTCGAAAGGAAATTAAAAATAAAAATTCCCTATCCAGATCATTGACTATTTCTCAAATGGTCAAATTTGTACATATTGTCTGCTTATCTATCATTGAATTGGGATTGACTAATAATAACAAATAACAACAAAATAAAATGCAAAAGTGTTTTTGAATCCTAGTATCGTGACCGAAAATAAACTAACACTGGGATCTGAGGTAAAAGCTCCAAGGCAAGGCCATAAGTTTTTAGTCATTTCAAACGGTCCGAAACGTCAGAGCAAGACGAAGTCTTAATGGTAGACGGCTGTAGACACCACGCAAAAAATATTTAAAGCGAATCACGATTTCAAGTATCTGCTTTGCTCAACCCTGTCGTTTTGAACAAAATAATTACAAACATTTATCATTTTTGGAAAACGAAAATATTTTTGTTTCAAATCAATTTGCAAATCCATTTCAAGCCAGCGCAGCAAAAAAGGAAAAAACGACTTATTACCTTTTGATTTTGATTTCATCCTTCCCGATAATTCAGGTTATTAAAGTCGAGTAACAAAGTGTTTAGAAGATTCGTGATTCGTTACCGTAACTGACCAGATTTACAGTCTCAAGTCTTTAACAAGTCTTCTTTATAACAGAATGTTTCTTGTGCATTCAAATTTGGGTAAAAAAAGAAAATCATATTACACAAAATATAAAAATCTACACAAAAATTACGACATTTAGAAAGGAACCGTACGTAATAGTAACACAGCAACTTTCTCAAGTCGAACTTTATATTTTATATTTTGTATAATGTCATATGTCAAACTATTATCATCGTTATCACAAGAAAGAGAGAATTTTGTATATAAAATTTATAGTGAAATACTTAATAATGCTAATGCTAATTGTGATAGAGAAAGTAGAAAATATTATTTTTTTTTATTAGTCAAAAAAAACAAGGAGCTTTTTGAAAATGAAAAAAAATATTGTATAGAAAAGTTTTTTTATGAGTTTGAATTAAAAAGTGTAAGAGATAAATTGGGAAAACCAAAAGAATGTAACGAGTGTAAATTGACAAGATACTCTGATAAATTCTGCGAGGGTTGTATTAGTTTACATTTACAGAGTCTTTTCACCACTTGGACATCTGGAAATAACATAATTGATTATTTTATTCAACAATGTCAAATGAAGTCATCTCTGCCAACTCATATTTTAGAATGGATACCTTTTGAGCAATTTGAAGAAGTAGCAAAGTTGACAGAAGGTGGATTTAGTTCAATTTATACTGCTATATGGATAAGGGGAAGTATTGATGATTACAATGAAAATACAAAGGAATTTAGTTATTTTGGAGGGCAAGAAGTTGTATTAAAAAGTTTAAACAATTCAAGTAATCCAGGGAAAGCTTTTTTTAATGAGGTTGGTAGTTGTCATTTAAAACAAAATAAACAATACTGTATTATATAATACTAATTGATTTTATATTTAATTATAGGCAATGAATTATTGTAAAATTAAATCACCATCTATTGTTAGATGTTATGGTATAACTAAATTCCCAGATAATGAAAATTATGCACTTATTTTAAATTATCATCCAGAAGGAAATTTAAGGGATTATTTACAAAAAAATCATTCAAGTTTAACATTAAAAGACAGAATTACAATCTTTTATTATTTATGTTATGCATTAAATCAGATACATAAAAAAGATTTAATCCATTGTGATTTACATAGTGGTAATATACTTGTGCAAGGAGGTGATTGTTATATTACAGATTTAGGATTATGTGGACCAGTTGATAAATCATCAAATAAAGTCTATGGAATTGTATCATATGTTGCACCCGAGTTACTTAGAGGAAATAACACGAAGAACACCAAAGAATCAGATATCTATAGTGTTGGGATGTTAATGTGGGAAATATTTGTAGGACATCCACCATTTGATGATAGATCTCACAATCATCGTTTGATTTTTGATATATGTGAAGGTTTACGACCACCAA